CTCCAGGCTGGGGGAGGGCAGGAGGACTTGGGGCCAGGGGAGTGGGGAGTGGGGAGACCCGCCTTCCCGTTCTGTTCCCCTTCCTAATCTGGAAGAGTCTTACCAGAGGGGCTGAGATGAGCCCATCCCTGAGCTGGTCCTGGTGTTTACATAGCTCCTTCCTTGGAAGGGCCAAGCCCCGCTCACTGCTTATATCCCTGAGCATGGGCAGCTGTGAGGAGGCCTGGCAGCTTCTCTGACACTTGAAGCTACCAAGGCTGCCCAGGTGGTCAGCAGGGGGCTGGGAACCTCCCTTGTCCAGAGTTCTGGACCCAACAGGATAGACAGGCCAGGAGGCTAGGCCTGTGTGGGGACCCTGGGAGTCTGGGTATCCTATGGGATGGCAGGTATGGACAGCTGGCCCAGGGATTCCAGGAAGGCCCCTGTGCTATGGCAGCCCTTGCTGCTGGTGCCGGAGCTTTCAGGGCAGTGTTTGCTGCTCCTTCCTTGGGCTTGTCAGCTCCTGAGGAAGCTTCGCTGGCCACTCCCTGCCTGGGGCAACAAAACCCAACAGGCCTGCAGAAGAAGGCGGGTAAGCGGCTGGAAAAGACCTTGTTCTAACTGTGGGCCTCTCCCAGGCCAGGCCTCAAGAATGCAAGGCGGGCCCCCCCCTCCCAGGGCCACAGGACCCTACCTCTTTAAGTTCTGCCTGGGGCTGCTGGTGGAGGAGTCCACAGTGGCAGAGGTGGGCAGGAGCTGAGGGGCCCTGGCACTGGGGCTGGTGTGGCAGGGCAGCCTGTAAACTCCAGGAAGGGATGGGAAAGCTGGCTCCATGCCCACATTTACCTGCTTCCTGCTGATCCGGGGCTAGATGGCAGCACCCTTTGCCCTCAGGGATTGGATAGGATGGGGAGGTAACTTCTTTCCCCTCCTGGGGCTCAACCTCTCTCTGGGAAGAAGCTTGTGTCTACTTAGCAACTCCTCTTTCCTGTGTGCTCTATTCACACAGCACTTTATTCCAAGTCAGCATTTTTTATCTATTTTTCTCATGTAGTCCCAATCCTGTGAGTATAATGGTGGAATTCCTATTGGGCAGACGAGGAAACTGAGGCACAAGAGCAGTTAAGCAGCCTATCCGAGCAATTCAGCCATTGAGCAGAGTCCAGGTGACTCAGGATTCACCTTACAAGTTTGCAACATTGAGAGTCCTCAGAGCCTGGGAAGAGAGAATGGAGTCGCTCTGGGTCCTCCCTCCCCCTCAGAGAGATAGACCTTTAGCTCAGCTCTCTTGGCACCTTTCCAGCTTCAGGCCTCTGGTCTTGATAGTCTTTATCACACACTAAGAAGTGGCAGGGGCTTGGGTAGGAGGAAGAAGCCTGGCTTGTTTCTGTGCTGCAGTTGGGGCTGGGGGCGTAGGGGTTTAATTACCCTCTTTAATCTGGTATTGAGTGCCATGTGTCAGTGGATCAACCTGGGTCCCCAGAGCCAGGGTTGGAGGGACATCACCCCATTGTAGCACAAGGGGACCCAGGCTTCCTTCCACCCTGAGCCCCTGGGTGGGTACAGGAATGTGAGGGGCGCAGCTGCAGCACTTGCCCTGGAATGCAGGCGAACCGGCCTCGGCCTCTGGGTCCCCTCCTCCTTGGAGCAGTGGGCCGAGGGTGTCTGCACCGTAACATTCCAGCGGCTCTCACCAGTACTAGGATTACGCTAGTCGGTTGCTGGGGCCCGGGAAGGTACCTGCCCACCCACCTGCCGCAGGGTGGCCTCCCGGCCCAAAGCTGCAACTGCTCCACGCTGTTGCTCCAACCAGGCGCAGCCATGGGGTGGGGACGGGGGCGCATGCGGTGCTGCCTTTGCACAGGGCCCATGCCCCTCTGGTTCCCCAGAGCTCTGCATGTCACCCTTGGGGTGCACCTTCAAGTGACCACCTGCGTTCCTCCTAGTAGCTTGCTGTGTTCCTCCACCTCAGCCTTGTTCTCTCAAGATTGAAACTTCCCCTCCGCACCCAGGGCCAGGGGCTCCCCGGTCTTCCCCAGCTAGAAAATTCCAAGATTGCACGAGGTTATCTTTGGTTACTCCCAGTGGCAGGAAGCCGATGGGCCAATGGTGCCCTCTGGTGGGCAGCGGCAGACAGTCTGCGCTCCTTCCTCGCCAATGTCCTGGCTGAGCCAGGACATTGCTCCGTGGCCTTTGCCCAGGGCTTGCTGGGGACTTTGCACCTAGCCCGCCCCCAGCCTCGGGACAGCCTGCCCTACCTCCTCATGTTGCATACTTTCGCTGGCCCAGAGAGACAGAAAACCTGCAGAATTCAGGGTGGGTTTCCTCCAAAAAAGTGGATGGGAAGCCCCAGAGAGAGCTTCTTCCTGCAGGTGGCTTGGGTTTGGAGGGACTCAGTCCTGGACCTGGAAACTTAGTAGAGTAGTTCCAGGAAGTTGAGGCCTTCCTTAGCTTGAATGATGGCTCCCGACTACTTCCAAGCAGTGTCTGGAACCTGTCCTCCCAGCATGTGGGAAGGGAGGGTATATTCCTGGTCTCGAATGGTTTCAGTGAGTACCATTTTCTCTGAAGAGTGGGTAGCCTGACACCTTCCTTGGGGTATGAGTAGAAGGAATATTTACAGCGGAGGAGAAAGGCTGGAGCTAGACACTGGGAACCCGCTGGGATGGGGCCGCGCCTTCAAGTGGACGCCTGTGTGCAGTGCCTGCCAGCTGTTTGCTCACGCCATCGGGGGCGTTTGCTGAGCTTGCTAGGGGACTTTGGCCCTTAACCATTTGCAGCGAACGGGGAAGTCTCAGGTATCTGCACCCATTGGAAATAAAAGTAAAGCTAGGAGTCTACTCTTGACTCGCTTTCTATATTTCTGGTTCTCTTTCTTGGAGGTGTTTGTGGGGGATTTGGAGACACTATCCCTTACCCGTCTTGCCTAGTCCTTGCCTGGTAAGGATGAAGGGTAGAGAGGGAGGAGGAAGCCATACCAGAGACCCTGTGGCTGGTGGATGGACTTGCTGGGGTTTTTCTCTGTCCCTTAAATAGATAAAACTTTGGAGAAAACGGAATCATGATGTGCCTTCTCCCTGACATCTACACTCTGTATCTTTTTTTAAGACAGGGTCTCACTTTGTCACCCTGGCTGGAGTGCAGTGGTGCAATTGTAGTTCACTGTAGCCTTGACCTCCTGGGCTCAAGCGATCCTCCTGCCTCAGCCTCCTAACTGAGACTACAGGCACGTATCACCACACCCAGCTAATTTTTACATATTTTTTTTTTAGAGATGGGATCTCACTATGTTGCTCAAGCTGATCTTCAACTCCTGCTCTCAAGTGATCCTCCCACCTCAGCCTCCTGAGTAGCTGGGACTATAGACATGTGCCACAAAGCCTGGCTAATTTTTGTATTTTTTGTGGAGACAGGGTCTCACCATTTTGCTCAGGCTGGTTTTGAACTTCTGGGCTCAAGTGGTCCTCCTGCCTTAGCTTCCCAATTTGCTGGGATTACAGGCATAAGCCACCATGTCCTATGAGGCCTGATCTTTTAACTCGCCTGCTTCCATTTGTTCATCTCACTCTCAGATGCTGACTCAGTCCTACCATCTTTTCTTTTCTTTTTTTTTTTTTGGAGACAGAGTTTTGTTCTTTCTCTCAGGCTGGAGTGAAATGTAATCTCGGCTCACTGCAACCTCCACCCTCCTGGGTTAAAATGATTCTCCTGCTTCAGCCTCCCAAGTAGCTGGGATTATAGGCA